GAAGCAGCAAAGGCTCCAGAGCAGGCTTTGTAAGCTGAGCATGTACATATGTGAGCTGTGGGGCAGAGGAATGGGCAAACTTACGATTGCCTGTAATAAAGTGAAAATTGCCATTTAATATGTCACCAATATTTCCGATAGTAAGATCAGCTTCTTAGCTTCATGTGAGCTGGGATGGTTTGTACATTATGATGCAGGGCAGACTGAAACATCAACAGGTGAGCAAAGAGTTGATCCAACACAGGCTGCAGGTGTATCATATCCCCACAACTACAGGACGCCACATATTTAATGTGTGGGGAGGAACGTGAGCTAAGAACAAAGGGCCAGGTGTCTCAGAGTTCTGACGTACACGTTCTCATCTTTTTATTCAACAGCAACATTACCTAAAGATTAGCCAGCAGCAAGGCCAAGTCTGCTACAAAGAGTAACAGACCTCATGTTATTGTCCTAGGTGGAGTCGAGGAGATGGATGTTCTGCACACCTTACGATTAGACAATTCATCATTAAGCTTGAAACATCCTGAGAACCGAGAACAGTGCTATTTGCTGTTTAATCACATTTTATACTCCAATCAGATCGATTAGCCAGCCATCAGCAGCAGCCAGCTTCCCTGTGAAGCTGTCCCTGGTTCACTGTGGACACTGTGGGTGTGTTCAGCCCTCCTGTCTCTCATTTAAATCTGTTTTCATGCAACACAACAGCTCAACAACAAGCAGCGTGGGGTTCACAGTTCAGCATTTTACACACTGTTGCTACAAACTCAACATACAGGAGTATGCACGCACACACACAAAGCTACAGCTGTCGTGACTGTAGCCCCTCTGCAGTGCTGCTGTTGTGCTTTTTGTGTTTGTCGGAAATCAAACCAGTGAATTTGCTGGTCTTCCAGCTGCAGCTCCACTCTGCCTTCTCCCCTCTCCCACTCCTCTTTGTTTCCGTGTTTCCGGTTAAAACTAGGTCATTTTCCAACCCACAGCTCCCACTGAGCGTGACATCCAGATACACACGTATCCCCTGGCAACCACACGTTCACCCTCGACACCCCGTCCAGACTGCGTCCTCGTTTCCTGCACCTTCCTGCAGGTTGTGTTCACTGAGCATGGCGGGCTCTGCAGACACAGCTTTGTTCAGCACACTTCAAACTGTAAGACGTGAAACGTTCTTTACCAGCTTCTAATAAAACAGCCTTTGAACGCGATGATCCTTCTTGTGTATCTGTTAATGTAGAGTCACAGCTGAGTCTAATGTGGAAGGACAAATTATGTTTTCACTCACTATCACAATATGAAAAGTCCCGTCGAGACTGTTTACAGTTCTGTGGGCAGCTCAAGAGGTAGTGCAGGGCGTCTGCCAATCAGGAGGTCTGATGAATGAAGCTTACACCGTCCATACTGCTGACATCCACTCTTACTGACCTCACCTTTCAGAAAAGGTGGAGTAGCAAAGTCTGCTCTGAGATGATGAATACACCACTCTGCTCTGTGCTGAAGTCCTGACACAACAATTTGAATGAAGCATTTTGCCCATTAACGGGCAATGAGCCTCTCTCATGAGCAGGTTTGGCTCGCTCGTCTTTAGAGAATTGTTTTAATTCGGCCGCACTGAAGAGTGTTTAAGCATGAACAGCCTGTTTAAAGTCATGCCAAAGCATGTCAGTCTACTGAGGAGATCTAGGTCACTCGAAAACCTCCATGTTGGTTTCTCTGGCCATTCAGAGGTAGACTTGCTGGTGCACTGCTGCAAATGTGCTTCAGCTCCAGTGCATGAACTGATGGACACTCGCTCGCCTTCAGGACCTATTTGTAAATCATCACACTGACACAAAGATGACGGGTTACTCAGCAGAAGTGTGGGGAGAGTGAGACAGTATAAAATAATCCAGGAGACAAAGCTGTGCCATTTCTGGACTTGGTTCAATTATTATTTATGGTTTTTGGGG